AACAGTTCCATATATGGCTGTACCTCGATACTCATCTTTGGGGTATCAGTCATATCAGCCATTCCTACATGTGTTATATGTGTTGCTTGTAAGAACAAGGTGAGCAGGATTTGGATTGTGTTTGGGGAGGATAATGCCGTCGGTATCAAGTAGTTCAGTTCAGTTTTGTAAAACTGAAAAATAGCTGAAACTGTATAGCTGGGGAAAAAAACCCCTGAGAAACTGGTAGAATTTATTTACCAGACCTTTGAGTCGAACCATGTTTAGAAACAATAAGCTTTATAGCCATTGTAATTTCTTTTATAAAAACAAGTTGTGTTTTGTTTGTTCTTTTAAGATTAATGATTTTTTCAATTTTATCTGATAAAATTATGTTGGGGCCTGATCCTGTCAGAGTTGTAAACTTGAAACTTCAGTTAAAATATGTGAGTCAAATCCTGCTTAGCTCACTCACATGGGTATCAGCTGGCCTGATTGATTTTACTTCCTAGTTATAAATAAGAAGCAGATTCCTTATGGTTAATTGAGTCTTTAATATCACCATAAAAAGCAGTATGAGATCAGAATCAACCCTAGCAGGACTACATACACTCACAAGAAGCTAGCCAGACTTTGCCCAGCAGATATTTTGGACATACAAAGTAAGAATTGCAATTTGTCAGAAGCTTATCCTATATCAAATTTCTCTGTTACAACATCTCTGTTCAAGAAATCCTGTAGTAGTTAAAAACTCTTATGGTTTCCAGCAGATTTTCAGCATCAACAAAAGAGAAATGTGTCAGATTGGCTTTGTATGCCTTTTGTCCTTTCTGATGCTCTTTTCTAGATTTAGCAAAATTCAATGGTGGTGCTAAATCAATTTTTTTTTTACTTTCAAGGGAAAAAACACTGGTAAAATTGTGTTTTCTAGGGAAGGCCGTGTGTGTAAATGAGAAACAGAGGATAGCAGTGGAGTGATCTCCTGTGGCCCTGCTAGTACAAGCTTTCCCCATATTGTCTCCTGCTTTTATATTAATTACAACTTGCATTATCAGCTGTGAGTCTGTAGCCCAGCAAATAGAAAATACTGCCCCTGGAGACATAGCTTCTTGTATCTATTTTCCATCTCCTTCTATTGTGCTCTACTCAGTATTCACTGCTTTTCTCCTAGTAACACTGCTCTTTAACACAATTAGGTAAGAGCAAGAGGAGTACCATATTTGGCTCCCAATTATTAGAACTACTGGGAATAGATACATGTGTGCTGTTCACTTTCTATGATAGCTGGCATTAGTTTAGGTCATACATGTGTGAAATTTTTATAGTGTGTGCACGTACACAAAATAGACCATTCTGTTTTGGCAGATATCTCTACAGTGTGTTTCTGCAAAGTATATTACTAAACTTGCAAGAAGAAATGAGAAGTCATGCTAGCAGTTTGTGTAATTTATCAAAAGCTATGTTTTGTTTCTTTGTTTTCTTATTTTTTAAAAATTTTTTTCAGTGTGATAAGTCAATACAAATTTTATTGAAACTAACATAAAATTGCAACTAATATTAGTGGGTTTTAGACTAGGATCACTTCAGGTACTTCAGCTGTACAGATGAAGTTTTCCAGTGAAGCACACTTTAAAGGTGTCATTTGGTTGTTTTTTAGGGGTTTTTAGTTTGTTTGGGTTTTTTTGTTTGTTCTTTTGGTTTTTGTTGGTTTTTTTTTGGGGGGGGGTGAAGGTGTGCATGAAATAAATACTTACGATTAGTCATTTGGCCAAGAATATTTTTTGAGGGATGTGAGGTTGGAAATTGTCTAGGAGAGAAAAAGATCAATTCACTGACTCGTGCAATGATCTTAGTCCAAACCAAAAGAATGCTGCCTTTTTATGAGTCTGTAAGCTCCACCCCTAAAATTTTTTGTCATTTTTTATGATATTAAAGTCTAGCTATTTCTCTCCCTTTCAAATTCCTTCAATATTTTTCTGTTGCATTTAGTAAATACCTTATCTTATATTTTCTGTCCTCCAACAAAACTCTGCCAAACAGCTCCCTCAAGAATACTGTGTCACAAGAAATACATTGAATTTTCAATCAATACAGTGTGTCTTTCTCAAACCAGATCTACAAACTGAGGTCAAGAACAACTCAGCCTGGTAGAGACAGCAAGTGTTTTCAGCTGTGGGAAGTCTCATTCAGTGATCCTTTACAAATTTTTACAACTTTGAAACAGAAAGGCTGGTCTAGATTTTGAAATATTGTATGATAGGTTTTGGATGACATTCACCTTAAAACATAGCTGAGCAGTTACCAGTTGATTATTGTAACTTTCTACATGTGATAAGGAGCTCCAGCTGCAGCCAGCACAAGAGAGCCTGCAGTACACAAAATTAGCATAATTCACTGTGTTCCATGAAAAGTTTAGCCTAGGTGAACATGTTGCAATTACTATGTTTTCTAAAAGAAGGTTCCAGCATGATGTTGTTGGAGGGCTAAACTCATGCTATGCTATTGTTTCTTTTCTTTTTCATGTATTTCTTCTAGCTCTTTATCTGATTACCATCCGGCAAACAGCTGACGCTAAGAGGCTGCAGAGGGCTGAAGAGCTCCTGTCTGCTGTTTGCCTTCAGCTTGAAGCTATTTGAGTGGCTTCCTAAGTCAGAGATAAAAAGAGAAGCTCATAGGCACAACTGTGTTTTAATCCAGGCTGTAAAGAAACTTGCACAGTTTTTGCCTTTTATTTCCATCTGAACTTTTTGCTAACCTTATTTTCAAGTTTTTTTTGTTCTTTTTAATAACACCTGGGCTGCTTGAACTTTCAAGATTTCTCATCTTTCTTTTTGTTTTTCTCTCCACCTGACTCTGAAAAATGATGGTAAAATGTGGGGGGTTTATTTGTTTTTCTTGTTTTGTTTTGCTGTTTGTTTTTTTTTAATGAAACGGTGGGGAATAACAGTATTATTTAGAGAAGATTAACACAATAACCTCAATGAATATAAAATAGTACTGTTTGGTTGCAGTTTTTTCCTGTAGTTCTGTGTGAGGAAAAGTAGTTCAGTCTTATAGGTTCTGGAGGGGCTGGTGAATTTGTGCTGTAAGTGTTCTTGTGCTGCATACTGTGCTGACAGGTTAAGCAAATTTCAGATCCTGACCTGTCTTCTGATTTTACTCGTGTCTTCCTGTCATGGAACCACATACGTGGGTGTATGTGTGTTTCTGTCCATGTAAGGTGAAGGGGATTTGGATCCTTCTTACCCTTTGGTCACCTGAGACTTTCCTGGGAACCTTTTGAAGTCATGGGCTCTTTCCTTTGTCTCTGCTGTGATCCAGGTCAGGCCCGTCAGATTTATGTTGCTGGGTATTGTAGCAAGCCTTTCCTTGGCAGTTCTATCCTGTGTTGCTGTACAGCATGTGGTACTAATCAGTGCTAGAAGATTACTTTGAGATGTTTCAATATAGATTTTGGGACTTGGTCCCAATCACACTTACACTGTATTTTACAATGGGTAAATCAGTTGATTATGTTGAACTTACTCCTACTACACATTGATGTAGATGAGGTCAGAATCGGTCCTGCTCAAAGAATTTATCCAACTTGTCACTTACTGCTTTCAGCTTCTCCTCATGCTTTAATAGTCTAGTGTTATTTCACAATGTAGATTTAAACCACAATCAAAACTAAGCAGCCTAAGAAAGCAATTTTTTTTTGAGGGAAGATTTGTTTTTTGTTCGGTTGTTAGATTGTTATAATGTGCTTGATTTAAATTGTCGCATGCAGGTGACAAGTAATGCAGGTCCAACCCCTACTCTGATCTGTTTCATGTGTTCTTGCTCTCCTTTTCTGCCAGAGGAAATTCCATCTCTTGCCTGCCTTCATGTGGTGCTGATAAAGCTCTTCCTGTACAGTAGAATTCCTGTTTTCCTTTAAGCAACAGCAGGGTATTGGGAATGATCAGGAAAGGGGAGGAGGACAGGAGGAGAATACACTCAACAAAGTAGCACTAAACTGTAACATTAAGTTTTCCTCACTTATCCTTTTAAATAGCAGCTCCTCTCTCCAGGAAAGCCAATACCCAATAAATTAGAAAGCATACATGAGTTATGTGACTTAAGTACAGTACTTCAGCTCTTACTTAGCCAAGTTTTGCGAACTTTGTAAGTCTGCCTTCTGCATTCCCTTTTGTAGTGTTTTATGCATAGTAATGCAGAAAGAATTGCATGAAAATCATTATACATGTTATTTTATATAATCACCTGGTGGTTGTTCTTGACAATTCTTGTAAGTGAACTGTTAGAGTGATAAATCCAGAAAAGTCTCTTGAAATGTGTCAAATCAAGGTGGTAGCTGGGGGTTAGGAAGCATCTCTCCTGGTATATAATGTCTTTCAGAGAAAACCTCTTTTTTCCCTTCACAACTTTGATTTTGTTGGAAGTTTTTCCAGCATTTAAATGGGTGACAGAGAGGTTGGGGAGTGAGGACACACTCCTCTCCCATGCGTGTTCTCCTGTACTTCTTGAAAAAATTTCCCTCCTCTTCTCCCCTCACTGTCTGGAAAAACAAAGTGTGGGGAGATAGTTTGCATGCCAACTATCCTGATCCTAATGAGAACACCTAGTATCATAAACTATGTAGGTAGATACCCTTCCCTCCTCTGCCTCCCCTCCAACCCCCCCTCCCACTACCCTGTAGAGCTCCTTAAGAAACTAAACTTACGGGTTTTTTTTTCTGTCCTGAAATATTGTTTTCCAGTACTATTCAAACAATTAAATCCAGAAAAGTCTGTGGAAAGTTTAAAAAAGAAAAAAAAATCTGTCCTGTGTTTTAACAAGTAAATCTTTGTATCTCCTCTGCTTGCCTTTGCTGAAGAATTATTACGCTGTGCAAACAGTATAGGTGTTTGGCACATTTCACAAATGCTAATGTGTATGCTTTCCTCCCCTTCCTCCTCTCTTCTCCTGGTTTGCTTTCTGTTCTTCATTTGCTATTGGAATGGGAACCGTGGAAAAATTCCTTGGCACTCTGACACCAGAATCCTTCATCTTGGAGAGACCACGATGATGCAACCTCAACGCACTCGGCAGGCACACCAGGGCCCTCCAGCGGGGGCCACGCTTCCCAGAGTGGAGACAACAGCAGCGAGCAAGGTAAAAGGTCAAACTTTTTCTCTCCACAAAGTAGGCATGACTAAAATAACTCCAGCTTTTTTCATTATATCAGTACATCTGCCTTAGAGTAAACATGGAGTGGCAGACTTGCAGTGTAATCAGCTGTAAGTTAGGGAGACGGTATTTCCTTTTCCTAACCCACTTAGCTGCATTTTATTATTATTTCAAAGCGAAATATCTAATCTTCAAACAAGCTTTGTAATAACAATTGATTAGTTCTGCCAATTCCTTTACAAATTTGGTTATCTACAGTTTATTTTTGTGTGGTGTAAGTAAATATAATGACAGACATATTCTCCAGCTGCGGTGCAGTTGTTTGGGTTGGGTTAAAGAAGGAGAGTTTAACCTGCAGTTTTATATGAGAGAGAGACTTCTATGTGAAGTTATGAAGCTGCTAAATTATATAAAGTAGAAGCAAACCCTGAATTAGACAGAAAAAATGTTTCTTGAAATGTTTGCTTGTACAGATTTGTTTTTGTTTCTGAAAATCTGGATTCTGAATGGTAAATAGAGATACACCTCAACTGCAAAACCTCTTTTGTATCTATATACAGTGCAAGTTCCTCAAGGTTGAGGAGGTTTGATTATTATTTTAGGGTTTTTTTATTTCCTACTGCATTGCACCTTATGTGTGGTCATCTGCATCCATGCTGAGTGAGTGTCAAAGGCTGTCATTCTGTTATGATAGTGTTTTACACGTGCTCATTAAAAGAATAACTGACTCCAGAAGGTGTAAGAGTCAAGCCCTCAGTGCTAAATGTTGGGTAAAGATGGCCTGCTGTCATTCTTGGATTTTTGACTCAAGAGTTGATTTTTTTCTTTTTTCTCCTTTTTTGATTTTTTTTTTTAGTCCAGAGTTTAAGGTGGACTCCATTCTTGTTTTTCTTTGCAAACATGGTAAGCTTCTGCCAGTGAGAGAGACATTACCTCTAAAAGGTCTTATGATATGGCCTCACCACAAGATGTTTCTCCTACATCTGCAGTATTTTCCCTTTTTCCCCACGTGCCCAGCAGAGCCGATGGACAGGGCTGATAACCAGCTAGTCTTGAAGGATCCCAACATGGCAAAGGGAGAAGCCTTCAGGGCTAGAGTTGCTTTCACTATTCTCATGCTGCAGACTGCCTCCCTCCATGATATTTGCCATGCTTAGACAGCAGAAGAGATATGTGATTTCATGTCTCTCACGTGGCCCATTGCTTGGCACAGAGCTAGTTCCCCTCATCTGCCTGATGATCTGGTGCTGTACCCATTGCAGTTCTAGGAACTTGCAAAGTTTGTTTCTGGTAGAGTGGTTTGGTTTTGTCTTCTATTTGTAAGAATTGTTTATACATTTGTAATCTTATTGCTGATAGAAAGCAGCCATGGCATAGGGTGTGATCCAACTCCAAAATGAGTCACAAGGATTTTTTGCTATGGGATTAAAATGGAACTGTACAAGACCCAGCATGAACCATTACAGCTTCAACAGCTGATAGGGAGAGCTTGACTGCTAAACAGCATAATGGTTTTATGTCTATTGGCTGGCCATAGGCCAAGATACTGTTGATCAAATGTTTATGTGGTATATTGTAGCTAAAGTGCTCTGTGTAGCAGATGATTTGCTTGCTTAAAAATGATTCCTTTGTTTGGTCTGCCATCTTCATTCCATCCCTAGGGAGAAAGTTTCCTGACACCTGTATAGCCACTCTGCCCCAGGAACCCCTTAGAAATTAAAAAAGTTCCTTCATTGAGCCATGCTTGGTATAAAGAAATCGCTTGTATACATATCCAGGGATCCTGCATTTCATAGTCTCTGATCCCCTGTCATGTAACTCTGGTGGGTGCTTGGGAAATATTGCTAAGCATTAGAAAAAGCAGTTGATGACTACTACACCACTTTCCTTTAGAAACAGGTTTCTGCCAATAAATATGATTTCAACAAACCTGTTATTCATTTATGTGGAAGAGGAACAGCCTTTGAGGGGCCAAATCAGTCACTAGTGCCGTTCAGTCCAGCAGGGTAAAACACTGCTAGTATGTTTCCCTTTGTGCTCATCTGGGCCTTCGAAAGGGAAGCCGAAGTCCAGTGACAAATCACCATTCCATTCAGCTGCTGGCAGCTGAAAGGTTATTCTACAGCACCAGCAGAATTCCCATTAGAGATGGCTCTGGATTGCTCTCGCCCTCTCAGTCCTGGGAAAGAGTAAGGAGAATGGGGTCTGTCTTGAATTTTCCTTAGGCTTTCTTCGGAGGGGCAGAATTTACTTTGTAATTCCTGAGCCAGCAGTGAGCTGGTCCCAGACAATGCCAAGAAGGATAGATGCCCTCTTGAGCTATTCCAGTGCAGTCAACTTGGTTTCCCTGCAGTTTTGCCAAGAGCTTCCACAAATGCTGCTTCACTTGCCCCAAAGGATTTCTTGGAAATGGGAGCTCATTAGAGAGTCTTGGGTTACATTAGCAACTTACAGTCTTCTCCACTAATGCCTGGTGGCAGCAGAGATTGATTCATCCTAGATTCAGTCTCTTCTGGCTTTTGAGAGCACTTTTTCCAGGGGTCTCTGCTTTTGCCTTGAGTGTATGATGTGCATCCTGTGATATTTTTTTATAAATTATTATTTTATTTTAATTTTATTATATTTTGGGGAGGGAGGAGATGGAAAGGATTTGGGTGGGTGATGACTGTTTTTTGCAGACTTTCTCTGCATGAGATAAATACATTTATTGCCTGTAATAATTCATCCATAATTCTTACAGTTTGAACCGAATAAAAAAGGTGTAGACATTTTGCCTCTTTATGGAGGACAGTCTCTCTGCTACAGTGCATGGCTGCCCTTTGGCATCAAAAGGGTTAATCTGGCCTGTGTTTGGTATTATTAGAAACATGCTGGCATTGGAAGAGTTAAGTAAAGGGCCTTCAGGCAGTAAATGTTGAAAGATTATCCTAATTTTATTAGTGGTGAGTGTCTATGTTGTTCTTAGCATGTCACCTCACTTGTTCAACAGAAAACTAAGCTACACAACATATTGATCATCTGGCAAACCAAAGTAGTAGTGATCTGTAATCCACCAAGCAGTTATTGACTTTATCCCAGTTCAGATCCACAAATGCAAATCAATGCTGTATAATACTATTTTAAAGATTAGTAATGATGTAGTAGGTCCGATCTACTTTCCCCCTGCCCTGGAAAGAGTTAAATGTATCCAATAATAAAAATAAAAGACTCTAAACATCTTACAAAGGAGAAAAAGGAGAAGCTGATTTAATGGTCTAATGAGGCCATCTTCCAGAGACTTGTTTTGTGTAGGGCTTGCTTTGACCTTTCGCTTTGCTCAGGAGCCCAACGCTTCATTTTTCACATTCTTGCAATTACGTTAACGCTTCAAGCATTTCTGACTCCAAGTCAGCTAGCAACACCAGGCATAACTCAACACTGTGAGTTTTTCTCCTCTCTGTAGATTCATTAACAGGTCACCGGGGTCCCAACTGAAATTTAAAACTGACTGGTTCTGTTGGGTTAGCTGAGTTATAGCAAGGGAGATGGCAGGAAAGGGGGTGAGAGAAGGGGAGGGGAAAGAGAAGACCCTGGGGTTTTTGCCAAGGAATATATGTGTAAAAAGTCTAAGTGGAAGATTAAAAGGTGTGTGTAGCTTTATCATCCACCCTTTTCTTCAGAGAGGAAAAAACACATCTGAAAGTCTTCTGGGGTATTGTGTTTTCTTTATTCTTTGTGAAACAAAGTGAAAACAGCCACTGCCTTTACATAAAAGGCTAAATGACTTCTAGAATTTGGCATCAGTTTGTACCATAGTGATGGATATGATGCTTCCAGACTTTAATTCCTATTTAATTTCTTTATGGGATATTGCAAATAATGAATATGGCAGATTATGCATGAAAAATGGGAAATAAATCTCTTTAAGGTTTAAAAACATGTGGTCTACAGGAAAGCACCAGGGAATAATTTCAGTTTCATATTTTATGGTACCAGGATTGTATACCTGATCTGTCATATTCATAGTTCACTCACTCAAAGGGCCTGATCCATCCAAGTCACATGGAGGCTGTCTTCCTTCAGGACCTTTCAGGAAGTTCAGCATCTTTTTAGGATTAGATCTGGGGTGACAAACTTCATCATAAGTAAGAATCCAGAGATTAGAAAATTCTGATGGGTTATAGAGCAGTAAAAATATAAATGAGTATCACATCTTCTTTGCTTTACACATGTGAGTGAGTAGTTCATTGTTGTGTGGCTTTTTAAGCTTGATTTTTTTTTTTTTAAATAACTACTTGTGCTGAATGATCTGCCCTTTTATAAATAATATCTGAGGCTACTCTCTAGAGCAAATCCCAAAGTAGTTTAGAACCACTTCTGTGCCAGCTTGATGTCTGTCCATGATAGCTTTCTTTGGCAAAGACTCCATAATCTGGTTCAGGACAAAGTCAACTAAGATATTAACTGAAATGAAGCATCCATCATGGTTAACTCTCTGGACTCATGCTTGTTGGAAAAATTAAGTAGTATTATTTCTTATTCAGTATATACCACCCTGTAATATAATGTGTAAATCAAATTTGTTTTCAAGACTAGCTGATAAAGCCCAAAGGTCTATTTTAATATTAGAAACTCTACTGGCACTACTCAAAGCTTAGAACCAAACTCCAGTAGTTACAAAAAGGAGAGGGATATGTTGATGTTAGCAACAATTAAAAAATAATATGTTAATGCAAAGTCTTTGGTAGCTAATCCAAAAGCTAATGCTACAACTTCTTTTCCTGGTATGGTAAGTAAGTATGGTAAGCCTGCTGAAGCTAGTATGCATATTCATCATAAAGATTCAGAACATATTTTTATTCCTTTGTGTTTTTACCTATAAAGTGATAGGGTATGGTTTTATTGGAAGAGAGCTGCCTTCTGTAAGAAAGGAAATTCCTGAAAGGCAGGCTCAAACATCCAGACTGAAAAATCAAACTTGCTAATAAATAATGCTTCACTGGAGA